GGGACACTAAAGCCCCGAAATCATCTCAAGAGATGATGATGATAAAAATGAGGACCTTAAACATAATACAGGGTACAAAACGCAATCCAATTTGTCCATAGTAGGAAAGCAGCATGTAAAGGATCTGGGAATAACGATGTCTGATGACCTAACGTTTAGGGAGCATAACAAAGCTAATATTGCGTCGGCCAGGAAAAAAATGATAGGATGGATTACGAGAACTTTCAAATCGTGGGATCCCATCACAGTGCTTGTACTCTTCAAATCGCTTGTGTTGTCCCGCCTTGAGAGCTGCTCGGTACTCGCTTCCTCCTTCAGAGCAGGAGAGATTGCTGAAATAGAGGGAGTACAGAAAACACGCACAGGCACGATAAAGCACCTAAGTTATTGGGATTGTCTCGAGGCTCTCCAATTGTACTCGCTAGAAAGGAGACGAGAGAGATATCAAATACCGTATACACGTGGAAAATACTGCGAGAGCCAAAGTCTCAAATCTACACAGTAAAAGTAACATACTGGAGTGAATGATGTGGAAGAAAATGCAAAATAGAACTAGTGAATTGCAGGGGTACCATAGGTACAATCAGAGAACATTGTATAAACAGAGGTCCACAGTTGTTCAACATCCTCTCAACGAGTATGAGAAATATTGCCGCAACAACCGTGGACATCTTCAAAAGAAAACTAGATAGTTTTCTTTAAGAAGTGACAGACCAAGAAGGCTGTGGTGAATATGTGGGGCCTGTGGGCTGCTCCAATCAACAACCTGTTGGACCAAGCTTCACTTTAGCTCTCACAAATCTAGCCTGGCCTTTGGCCGGGCTTGGGGAGAACTACTACTACTACTCGGAGCACCATCAAGCAGGTATCGAGCAGATGAGTGCATAATATAATAAGAGGAGAGCAGAGTGAGGAACATGATATATGATTTTAAAGACTATACATACAATACTGACACTTTATGTATATTTTTTTGGCTGTTGTGTGTGGGTACTGAAGTGCAGTAACTATATATAGTCGAGGAACTTTAGCAATAAAAATGAGTGAATGTTAACATTGTCTATCTGAAGTTGAATTCGATTTGATTTGATTCTTCCAAATATAATGTAGTAGTCTGTTTAGTGTGAGTTTGGTGGTTGACATTCATGAGTGGACTTTTTTTTTTTTTTTTAATTATAGTATTATTTAGTATGTGGGAGTTGAGGTCTGAATAGATTAAGGTAGTATCATCAGCAAATGGCATAAGTTTAAGAATGTTTGAACTATTTGGCAAATCATTGATGTACAGGCATACCTCAGAATAAGAGTTTAATCCGTTCCTGGAGACGCCTCGCCTTCCGAAAACTCGCATTCCGAAGTTAATTTCCCCATAAGAAATAAAGGGAAATGAATTAATCCGTTCCTGACTACCCCAAAAACCCCACATCAAACTAAATTTTTATACCTAATTCATCTAAATAAACCTACAAAACTGTGTTCCAGTTATTACTTACCTTGCTGTCGAGTGCTGTAGGCGTATGGAAGATGGTGAGGAGGGGGAGGAGGAGAGGAGTTACTGTTTGGAAGGGGAGTCCCCTTCCATAATCACATCACATAACCCCATGCCTTGTAACACTATGGATACCACTTCTCTTTCTAAATTTTTCAAACCAGTCCCTGCTTGCCTTAAACTCTTTCTTATCTGCATCACTCGTTGCAGGGGTATTCTTTAGAAGGTCTTCGTGCAACACCCTGGCTTTCTCACAAATAATGGCCTCCGAAACACTATCACCCCTCAACTCCTTGTCGTGTATCCAAATTAATAACAACTTTTCCACTTCTTCAATTATTTGTGGTCTTTGTGCCGTTAATGTTCTTACTCCTTTTGCCACTTTAGCACCCATAATCTTATTTTTCTTCTTAAGTATAGTGCATATTGTTGATGTGGCTTTGTTGTACTGCCTACAAAGTTCAACAACACGTGTACCGTTCTCATGCTTCCGAATGATCTCTTGTTTCTCCTCTATTGTCATCCTCACATGAGCTTTCTGGCCTTTATCCTTACCACTGGCTTTCTTGGGACCCATGGTGAGATATATAATAACAAATTGTATAGACAAATCACCAAAAATCCAACAAAACACTGAAAATCCGCGAGAAGAATTGATGTGGGGGTAGTCACTGAGCGCGAGACAATAATAAACTGAGGGGCGGAGGGGCGACGAACGCGCTAGGTCGGCTGTACGCGTATCAACAAACTCGCGTCCAAACTCGCCTCCCGAAGTAACCCTCGCCTTCTGAGACAAATTTTTGGAGTAAATACACCTCGCCTTCCGAAAACCTCGCATACAGGGACAATCGCATTCCGAGGTACCACTGTATATGTAAGAAATAGGTACTAAGATGCTGCCCTGTGGTACTACCACTGTTAATAAGAGTGGGGGCGGTTGTTATTGATGGCTACATATTGGTGTCGTGTCACTTGAGATAGGAGTGAATATAGTTCACTAGTTCCTGGTTTTGGTATTTGCATATGTGTAAAGTTCAGGGCAAGGCCTCGGATTCCATAGTGATGAAGTTTAAGAGGTAGTCATGGTTTACAATATCAAAGGCCTTTCTTGGGTCAATGAAGAGGCCAATTGTGAACTCATTTTTGTCAAGGGTAGATTAAATAAAGCAGACTAATAATGGCATCATTGGTACTCTTTGGGAACAGAAGCCAAACTGGCCGCGACTTGATACTGTGTCGAGTTTTACAAGGTAAAATTCGAGCTGTTTGTAAATAATTTTTTCAAAATTTTTGAAAAGTATAGGTAGATTTGATATTGGTCTGTAATTGTTTGTCGGCTGTCTCGCCTCCTTTATGAACTAGCGTTACTTCCTTTTTTTTATGGATATCGGGGAAAAATGACACTAAAGAGATTTGTTGAATAGCTATGAGTAGGGCAGGGGCAAGCCTGGCCTCGGGCTGGGCTTGCCTCTGCTGGGGTTGATGGGGTTTGGGAAGCGGAAGTACTTCCAGAACCCCATCAAGCAGGCAGCACTCTTGTATACCATAGATGGTATTTCACTAGTTCCCGGTTTTGGTTTTTAGTGATTGAATTATGGAAAATATTGCAGGAGTGACGGTGGATATATTCAAAAGGCACTTGGACAGGTTCTTGTAAGTAGTGTTGGACCAACCAGGCTGTAGTGGATATGTGGGCCTGTGGGCCGCTCCAAGCAACAGCCTGTTGGACTAAGTTATCACAAATCGAGCCTGGCCTGGGGCCAGGCTCGGGGTGGTAGAAGAACTCCTGAAACCCCTTCACGGGATGCTCCAGTTACAGTACAGTATATGATGTCTGTCAAGCTGACTAGTAAAATGAGTAACATGTCTGGGGCTTTAGGATTTTTCTGGCAAAGTTAGCACCAATTGATGAAAAGAAGCTATTAAATTCAGTTGACATTTCTAGGTCTGTTTAAAGTGTGCAACCTTGGAGAGTTTTATCGGCTTAAGTGATTGTTGTTTAGATCCTATGATAATAGATGGATTTGCATGTGCTTTTCATATTTCCTTTTCCTTCATTAAATTTATCACAGAAGGAAAGTTTGGCTCTTATTACAGTATTCTGGTAAGCATTGATGCTTATCTTAACTACTACAACTACTGTAACTAGGCCAATCCTATTTTTTTTCATTCGTGTTTCTTTTTAATGGCCTTAATCACTGAACAGTGCTGCTAATACTGTATTAGCCAACAACACTGCTGTGCGCAATATAAAAATACAATTTTTGCATTTTCCCTTCCCCTCTAAGATTGTTAAAATGTGTTCTCTGATCATGGATGGGGGGGGGGTATATAAAAACAAAATTGTAAGAGATGTATTTTGGCCATGATAGGGCGAGGAAGTCTGACAAGATACAGGCGCTGAAAGAGTATGCGTCCGGGCCGGTCTCCTCCACCCGAGTTGTCAGGCGGGAGTTGCCACAAAGATGTTGCCTAATTATTTAAATGTTTTTCCTCTTCCCCCAGTAACATTATTCAATAGTGTTATATTTATATAATAAAATGTGTAAACCATTGCTATACTTGAAGGTATGGTGTGTATATTAGTGATTCAATTAGGTACATAAAACAAAAAGAAAAATATTTTTGCTGTTATTACTCTATACACGTTATATAAAAGTATCTGCATGTTTTGTTAACCATAACGAACAACTATGCTGGTATGGTGCATGGTGGCTATGCAGTTTCATTACACTGTATAAGTCACACACAAGCAAACAGATGCCACCTCCCTCACCAACACTTTTCTGCCAACATACTATTTTTTTGCTGTTATTACACCATATGCACGTTATATACGAGTACTGTATCCATGTTTTTCACCATAATGAACCACTAAGCTGGTGTGGTGAGACCAGACAATAAGTGGCAGCCACACAGCTGATGACTCCACCTCCCTCCCTCACAAAGATTCCTCCTCCCACAATACTATGCACATCGCCAAGTCTCGCATTCGCGAATATATTAAATGAAATCGTGGAAATTAATACTAATTTCTTGTGATAAATCAAATCAATTAGACATGACACGAGTAAGATGAACTTGTGTGACACCCCTTATGGTCATTGGACAAGGCAGGCCCATTTCCCATTTACACATTTCACACCCCTCTGGTCCACTCCTTTACTGCGAACAATCTTTGCATGGGCAGTGATACCTGGCGTCTGTGTACCTAACCACTTCATTACTAATTTTATTTGGACAATGAATAACTGGCATGTCAGGATAAGTAGTGTCCAGAAAGCACTTGGTCATGTTTCTTTGCCTTGATGGTTTGTTTTGCTATAGTATTAAAAGAATAGTTAGTGTGTCCTAAAATGTTAGACCACCACTTTTTGCTGTTGGTAATATTTCTACTCGAATGTTCAGGAAAGGTAGGATAGTGACTTCCATAATCATTTTCTCGGTTTTTATTTTCTCTGAAATTTATTCGTGCTTTTACACAAATATTTTCAATTGTCTTTTTCCACAGTGCGATCTTTTGGGACGGAAGATCGGCCGACAGAGATGCCAGTTCCTGCCAGGGATGAAGTGTACGAGTACATTATCTTCAGAGGCACAGATATTAAGAAGATAGAAGTTTGTGACACGCCAAAGCAGCCTACCTTACTTCACAATGACCCTGCAATTGTCCAGGTGAGTTTTCTGCTTTAGTTATTTTAAGCATTCTTCCAAGTATCCCTTGAGGTCAGCCTGTCTCGGGTGTCGTGAGGCTGTCCATAATTATCTTGGTTGAGGACCTCGTAGAACTTTGTTGCTTGTAAACTGTTTAACATGGCGCTTAGATGATACTTAATGCAGTAGGGCCAGTCTTTAAGTTGACTAATGTTGTGTGAAACAAGCCCTAGTAAGCATTTGTGATCATAAAGGTGTGGGGGGGGAGGGTGCACAAAATGATTGTGTGGAACAATTCAATAGCACTAGCCAAAAAGTCTTTTGCCCTGTTATTTGTAATTGTGCCAGTATAGTAGTTAGTCCTACATAATACATTAAATCATAATGTAAAATGATTTAAATCATAAAACTGAAAGCAGTCATTAGGGCTTAGTTGTACAGAGATACTTTACTGCTAGAATCCACTCTGTAAAACATCCAAACTATTGAACTACTAAAATGTCAGAATCTGTATTCTCTTGAGCGCAGGCGGGAGAGATGCATAATAATTTACACATGGAAAATAGTAGAGGGGCAGGTCCCAAAACGGCACACTGAAATAACACCACATGAAACCAGAAGGCATGGCAGGATGTGCAGAATACCCCTGTTGAAAATCCGAGGTGCAATAAGTACTCGGAGAGAACTCTGATGCTGATAGTACCGGGACTTCAACACGCTTCCACCACACATAAAGGGTGGGGGGGGGGGGGCTTAACTGGCCAACCCCTTGCAGTGTTCAAGGGAGAACTTGATACACACTTCCAAAGGATACCTAATCAACCAGACTGTGATCCATTTTGTCTGACTGCAAGCAGCTGTATCTAACAGCCTGGTTGACCAGTCCAGCAACGAGGAGGCCTGGTCAAGGACCAGGCAGTTGAACGCTAAGCCCCAAAATGATCTCAAGGTAACCTTAAGATAAGGTAGGGGTGGATCGAAAAATGACTTTCCTGAAATCTAAAAATGTGTAGTTCTTTATCGGTAACAAATATGCCAAAAGTAAGGCAGAACTTAATTTTTGGGTGATTGGCACTATGTATGGGCCAGCAACTGCTCTGAATGCATCTGCTCAGGGTCAAAATGGCCAGTATGGCCATGCTGCCATCCTCTGGTTCCAGTGAAGAGTAGGGGTGCTATAGGCACAATCAGACAAGACATCAGAGGTGCACTGTTGTTAAACATCCTCCCAGCGAGCCTAAGAAATAATGGCGGAACAACCATGGCCATAGAGAAAACTAGTTTTCTTAAGGGAGTATTGAACCAACTGGGCTGTGGTGGATATGTAGGCCTGTGGGCTGCTCAAAGTAACAGCCTGTTGGACCAATCTCTCATAAAGCCTTGCCTTGAGCCAGGCTTGGGGAGAACTACTACTCCCAGAACCCTATCAAGTGGGTAGACATGATTTGTGGTTCAAATTTTGTAGAATCCTTCCACTTATATATATATTGGAATTTTTTTCTGCAAATCCGTTATTGACAAAAGACTTTTATTAGGTACTGGCATTGATGTAAAAAAAGTTAACTTCCACCCACTAGGCTATTTTAACATTCATTATACATTGTAACTTTATTTGCCTGCTATTTAATGTGTAACATTGCCCAAGTCCTTATCTACATTTTGTGGCTAATTTTATAAAATGTAAGATGGGATAGTTACTCGTGGGTCGTTGGTTTTTGTTTAACCAGAACCATTCCCAGAAGACCTAAGGACTGGTTGAAAGATGGCCATTGGCTTGCAGAAAAGTTAATCAGCCCTTTAAAATTGGTATAGATATCTATCAAAAGTTTTTGGAATGTAATCCCCCCCCCCCCCCCCCCCAAACCAGCAACTTGTGCTGATACCTCGGTTACCAACTTGACATATCTCTAAACAGACTGGCTATGACATGGGTGGTTTAGCTGTAAAGGTTTCATTCGGCAGCGCTCTATCGAAATTTGTCAAGTACCTGTACTGAATAGCAAGAGAAAACAAAGTACCAAGGGGAGTTGTGTAAAATCCTGGTTTGTGCCTCGGAGAGGCTACAGGATCCAATAAGTTCAGTAGAACTTCGGTTTCAACTCTTTTTAACCCTGTCGTAGCTCAGTCGATTAAGGCAGTGTCTGGGATGCTCCCAGACGCAGGTTCGAATCCTCGTCACGGCCCTTGTGGATTTGTTCAAATCATAAAATATTAACTGGAACACAACTGGATACCATACTAATAATAAAACTGAACAGGGAAAATATTAAATGCTACGCATAGTTATCATGAATCATGGTAGAATCAATACTAGATTCGTAACGGCATCGAGAAAGGTCTGAAGTGTCGTGTCTGCTACAAGTCTGGTAAAAGGAAGGACAGTGGGTATAAGTGCAAGTCGTATGGTGTGGCACTGTCCTGCATCAAGTTACTGTAAAATGACTGCAAAAATTACACTAAATTACATGAATTGGATTACACTGTAAAATGTAAATTAGCACATTGCTAATTCTCGCCACAATCCTGCTATTACCAGAATCCTGGTCACTAAATCCTGTAAAAGTGAATAATTTTCCACATGTTTATTTTGTAAAGGAGCACGAGAAGTGGTTTGAAGATTCTTAGGGTTGACGAAACGATGGCAGTGTGCTGTGGCTAGTGCTGTGAACATCTTGAACAGCATTGTTAACTAATATCAGAACATTGTACATGGTCTTTATTAGTCAGGCTCTTCTGTAATACTATCATGGCTAAATAATACCAGCTAAATATATATATTTAGGCATTTTTAGGTGATGCTGTGGTCACCTGCTGAACAGCAGTGCTCTTGGCTCATGCCGTGTGTGCCTTGGTTGCTCACTCAGTGCCGAGGCCTTCATACTTGGGAATGTTGCCGACGATTTACAAAAAAAAATGCTTACTCGAGCCCTGAGGAAGTTGCTGTGAACCCCGTGTAGCTGTGGGACTTTTAAATCTTGCGCGGTACTCCCAACTATTGCGGCGCCTTGCCACAATAGTTACTCAAGCAAGCTATAAATGTATTCTGCCCCTTAAGGGTTAATAGCTGACAACCTCTTTGTGGGGGAGGGGGTGACTTTACATTATTAACTAGCATTCACGAATCGTAAAAATCCAAGCAAGTCTCTCCCTCTTGTGGTTTAGCTGTAGTGACATGGAGAAGTTGTTTTTGGTTGAAATGAGGTGGGGTGCTGCACGAGGATTTCTTGTTTTCATTGTTTCTTGCTTTGTAGTTTTCTCGTGCTAACAGGTTGTATTGATGTCAAAAGTTGTTCATTATGTATAACTTAGAAAATAAATATGTTCAGAGATATATCTTGATCTTGAGGTGATTTCAGGGCTTAGTGTCCCCGTGGCCCGGTCCTTGACCAGGCCTCCTTTTTGTCCCCCCCCCCCCCTTCCCAACCCCAGGAAGCAGCCTGTAGCAGCTGTCCAACTCCCAGGTACAGTACCTATTTATTGCTAGGTAACAGGGGCACCAGGGTGAAAAACTTTTTGCCAATTTGTTTCCGCCTCCACTCCGGATCAAATCCAGAACCTCAGGACTACGAATTTGAAGCGCTGTGCACTCGGCTGTCAGGCGCCAGATAAGTGTAAATATAAGTACAACACACAATATTTATATTCATATTGGAATACACTGGTGCTTTGGCTCTTCAATGGCTCCCAACTCTATTTGGCTCTAACACTTTGAGAACAAAAACGCTCTGTATTAGACCGTTTGTTCGGCACTCAAATGTAAATGTACGAGTGGGATTGGGTGGCTATAAATAGGAGCTGCCTCGTATGGGCCAATAGGCCTTCTGCCGTTACCTTTATTATGATCTTAAATGCTTGTAACAAACAATAGTTTCCCAGTAGCTGTTGTTCAATGCACAACCCCACTAAACTTCTTTTGTAGACTATCTCGTGTTTTCTTGAATATTTTGTATATACTTGGCATAAATAAGTCACCATGGCACCTAAGGTGGTTAGTGATGAGAGGCAAACGAAAAGAAAACTAGTAAGAACCACGATGGAGAGAGAATAACAACTCGTAGCAAAACGAGTGCACAGGCTGTATATGCAGTGGTATACAGTACAGAATAAAATTCTGATTGTTACCACTTTTCATTTATAGGGAATACTGATGTAAATGTATTTTTTAGTGGTAAAAATACTGTACTGTATTTTTACCACTAATTTTCATTACAGCATATTAGGTAGGCTTGTATTTTAGCTAGTAACAAAACTAATTTAATATTTTCTTTGTTTCAGCACTCTGCCCCAGCAGTTCCATCATCCTTCCAGGCAGCGCCGTTCTCCCGTCAGTCCCTCGGGCCAATTGGCGGGGGCCTGGGTCTGTCGTACAGTGCTTATGGCCAGTCAATGACACAGCAGGGTATTCCAGGGGGAGGTGGTTTCCAAATGGGCGCGACAACCCAGCCCAGTGAGTTGACTACTGTGGCAGGTGGTGGTGTTAGTAGTGTTGTTGTTGGTAACCTGGATCAGCAGTCTGGCCCTGCCCCAGTGGCAGTGCAGGCCCCCATTGGTCCCCCACCCCAGTCTGGTACACATGCACTTCACCAAACAGGTAGGAGCAAGTGCCACTTTATTATTTACATGAAAGTTAATGTCTTGGGGAGGGTTGTAAAGTAGTGTGGGTTGGGAAGGGGAATTGTTGAATATTGAATCATGATCTAGTATATGATGATATACATTTTGCTATTGTATTAAAAAAAAAAAAATAATGGCATTTGTTCCTAATATTTTCACGTGGTGATGGTAGAAATAATACAGTAATACTACTTGAACATATTTGTAGTAATAATAGGAATTCAAATTAGATTTTAAATTAATAATGCAGAGTAGAACCTTCACTGTAATGATTTTTTGTAGATGAATGGAAAATTTAAAGTTTTTAGATGGAAGTACAGTACTTTATTTTAATGTTTATGGAGGCTAAGTTGTATTAGGTATAACAAGAGTAATGTCAATAATCAGAACTGTGCTTGTGTACTTGGAATGTAATTGTAAAAGGTATACAGAAGTTTGACCCATGTACCGTATTTACTATGCACCCATTTAATGACAACCCCATGGTGCGTACAAACCCCATCCCCCCCTCCCCAAATTGTCTTTATAACAGTTAAAATTCATTCAGTAATTACAGGAAACTTGGAAAAAAAAATTAATACAGGGGTACCACCTCGGTTTAAGAATTTAATCCGTTCCTGGAGATGGTTCGTAACCTGAAAATTCGTAAATTGAAGCTAATTTTCCCATAAAAAATATTGGGAAATGAATTAATCCATTCCCGACTCCCAAAAACTTCACTTCAAAGTAAATTTTATACCTAATTCACCCAAATCTTCACTACAAAAGTATGTTCAAGTTATTACTTACCCCTTGCTGATGACTCCTGTTGGTGTATGGAAGATGGTGAGGAGGGAGGGGGGGGAGGAGAGGTGTTACTGTTTGGAAGGGGGGTCCCCTTCCATTATAATATCAGGCAGTGAAGATTTCTCTGGAGTACACTCTGGCACATTTTGCCTGCATACCACTAGGTCCTGGTTGTGGCTCACTGTTTGATTTTCTCACAAGGAAACGTTCCATTGAAGATTGTTTTTACCTTCTTCGCAATATTTGTCTGTAGTGAGGCATCACATTATCATTGAAAAGATTAATGCAATGGCCTACTACAGCTTTCTCTGGGTGAGTCGTTTCAATAAAAGTTTGCATTTCTTCCCACATCTTACACCACTTCCTAATTGTTGAGGAAGGGACATTCTCTACTGCCTCATCCTCCTTTGAAGACATATCCTCAGCTGCCTCTTGTTGCTGCTCCTTTTGAAGGGCTTGGAAGTTCTTCGTTGTGTTCTTCCACCAACTCCTCCATATCGGCACCGTCCAATTCGAAGCTCATTTTTCCGGCCCAGAGTAACAATTTCCTCAACAATTGGCACTTCATTTACAGGCTCAAACCCCTCAGTCTAGTTCTGACACATTCAGGCCACAATTTTCTCCAGCCAGAGATGAAGGTTCTTAGTCACTTTTTGCCAGGCTTTGTCAAAGTTTTAAAGCACTACAAATGTTAAAATGTTTTTTCCAGAACTCTTTGAGGGTGAGGTTTGTGGCATCAGTCACTTAAAAACATTTCCGGAAAAGTGCCATTTCATAAAGTTTCTTAAAATTCGCTATGATTTTCTGGTCCATAGGCTGAATTAGTGGTGGTGTTAGGAGGAAGGAACTTTGAGAGAAAATTAAATCTGTTCAACAATGCATCTTCCAAGCCTGGAGGATGAGCAGGAGCATTGTCAAGGAGAAGCAGGGCCTTGAGTGGCAAACTTATTCTCCTGCAGATATTTTTGTATGGCAGGGCACACCACATCATTTACCCACTCCGTAAAAAAAAAATCCTAGTCACCCATGCCTTATTAGCCCTCCACATCATACACATTTGGTTTTTCTTTACACTGTACTTTTTGAAACTCCTTGGATTTTCAGAATGATATACAAGCAAGGGTTTACTTTTCAAATCGCCACTTGCATTTCCACACAGTACAAACGTAAACCTATCTTTCATAGGCTTGTGTCCGGGCAATGATTTCTCCTCCTTGGTAATGTATGTCCTCTTGGGCAATCTTTTTCCAGAACAGTCCTGTCTCATCACAAACAGTTGTTGCGGTAGGTATCCCTTAGCCTCTACAAAATCTTTAAATTCAATAAATCTTTCAGCCGTTGGTTTGTCTGAGCTGGCAGCCTCCCCATGCCTCCCAACACTATGAATCTCTGTTTTTTTTTTTTTTTTTTAAGACTAGTGTCTCTAGGAAAGGAAGGACCCCATGCCTTTCCTGGTGGAGCAGTGAGCACCTTTTAAATCACCTGTACTTTGTTTGCATGCTCTTCAGATTGGGGGCTAGATTTGGCTATATTATCGAGGGTGTTGTTGCTTTGTCTTCTGCTTGGGTTGGCACTTTGCTGCTACTGGAGCTGCTTAATGAGACCTCCTTGGGCCATTTGGAGAACTTAAAGTTGCTTTCCTCTTTGGCATTTTAAGGGTTTAAATTCCTTGGTACCTCGCCCTTTCATTGCTAGAGCTCGCCGATGTGGCAGGACTTGGCTTGGTGGGTATTTGCAAATCTTGCAACACTGCCAAGGGTTCTGGTTGATACATGCAAGAAATGGTAGTTTTGTGGCAGTTTGCATTTTTGATGCAACACTTGCAGGACTCTGCTTTGGCTTCACTTAAGCTATTGGATCATAGACGTTAAATTAACTGGAAGGCTACTATTATTCCCTTACAATGTTGTGGGTAGAATTGTAGAATACGCCTCGGTTTTGGTTTCTCGAGAGAAAACCTTTTACTTTTGGTGCAGACGTTACTTTCCTTATTTTCCAAAGTTGCTACTGCTCCTGTTTTTCTGGAATTGACTTGGTTTCTGCATAAGATTTTGCCAGTTTAGTGTCTTATCCCCCTTAATTAGTTAAGGATTCATTATTATTTTTATATAACACTGTTAGGAAAAGTATGCAGTTCTTGCCCTATGCTGAGAAGAGGGTGGGGGGTGGGGGGGCTGTTATGCAAGTTTCCAGTACACGGATATAGCTGGCTGCCCGTGCCAACAACCTCTTTTACATTGTAAGAAATTATCTTAAAATTTGTTCATTTAGATTGAGTAAATAGATTCCTCTTTGTAATGTTATAAAGTGTGGGCCAAAACACCTGCCAAGGCAGCTCCTATTTATATCCAGCTGAACGTATTCATATACATGTCTAACTAGTGGCACAATCACATTACCAGACAACCAACTTGGAACAATGTGTTCCATGAACATACTACCCCCTACTAAAGCAATCGCAAGGTTTTTCTGAATCTTACCCCGAGTTCATAGTCGTGCTCTTTTCTGTATATATTGCATTAATATGCCAGTTGTTAATACCTAGGGGTGTTACTTTTTTAACACGCTTTCACTTTTAACACTTTTTTTTTTAACTCGCTCACTCACACTCACTTTTTAACTTTTGAATATGTTAAGCTTTTTTTAAATTTCTTCATACTGGAGGTTTCTAATCCCTGAGTAAACATACCTCTGCATGAGGTTTAAAGTTGACTTGCAGCCATTCTATAGTATGGCAGCCAAAATTGAACTTTTATCTAAATGGTAGGTGGGGAGGCACCCCTAACAATAGCAATATAAAGCTGAAGAATAAAATTAGGTGTTCCTAGCAATTTTAATGTTGATCTCAATACTGCATCTTATTTGCCTTGTTTTGTACACTTGTGCAATGATTTTTCTCAAGATCTCTACTAATCATTGCTCCCAGATTTTTTCTGACTTCTGCTATTTTTGCAATTTCAAAATTCAGTCTGGCAACTATTACCATTACACAAGTTTAGAACACTAAATTTGTCAGTATTGTATTGCATTTACAAAGTTGGTGGTCATATTAAAAGCCTATTTTGATTGTTGTAAAAGTTCCAAAAAGTGGAACTTTTGGAACAGAATAGACTTGATAATAGTCCAGGATGGACCGAAATGTTGTCATCTCATCATCTGGTGTGTGGTTTGGTCATATAGTTCCAAAAGTGTTTTGACTAAATATTTTTGCACTTCATTTTTTTTGTTCATCTTCATGAAATTTGCAAATGTTGCTGATTATATAATCCATATTGGTGATGAACAGAGGTCTGTCCAAAGCCCTTAACTGCTATAAAAAAAAACAAATTTTACTGGACCTAATTATGCCAAACTGCTTTCTTAAGAACTAGCATGTCCTAGCCTAAATTAACACTTTGGCGTACCCTGCGCGCCACCCCTCAACTGTGCGATATGGGACCCAGGGTGTCACGGGAGCGCGCGTAAATTCTGAAAAGTGTATATTCTCCAACTTTGTCACCTTAATTCTCGTCCTACGAGATTAAATTTGGTATCATTGTGTTCGCAATAGAATTCTCTACAGCACTAAATGCATATAAACTCCAAAAGCCCGGCTAATTACCCGCAGCAAACAGAGAAAGTGCGAACGAGTTACCCAGGAGCGCGCAAACGCGATAAAATGTTTTCACTATTTTCACTCTGGTCACCTCAATTTTCGTCCTAGGTCTTTCATTTTGGTCTCGATGGGTTTGCAATAGAATTCTCTAGAGGAACATTAGCATATAAAATAAAAAACCTGGTCACGCTCCAACCGCCGACGAGTTGAAGACGAGCCACGCGTTAGCCGCAAGTGAGCGCATGGACGCCTTCCAGCTACACTCCCAATTCCCGCCCTTTTCAAGCCTTTCTTTCGCAATTTTCTTCCTGGAAGGGCCTTGTTCATGATCACTATCCATCGTGGAGTAAGCGTAGATAGTTTCTAAAGCCGCAGTAAGAAATATAGCCACGGAAAATAGCCGAAATGTTCACACGTTTGAGATGCGAGGGGAGGCGACATTGGTCACAACAGTGGAGCGAAAACAATGGGTCCACGGCGTGTGCCAAGCCGCCTGAGGGCCACGAGGCTCGACAAAGAAAATGGGAAGACATCGGCGCGCATTTTAAAACCAGTCCCAAAAAAATCTAATAAACCTGATTTTTGGCGATTATTTAAAGTGGATGACGCAATGCTGCTTCTTCCCTGGCATTACCGACAGTAAACGGATGACGCAATGCTGCGTCATGCCCGGGCGAAAGTGTTAAATGGACTCGTGTTACAGTATTTTGATTGCCTTGCAGTTATTGGTTACCTAACCTGCCCAATTTTTCTAAGGCCTACTTATTCTTTGTTAGTTGCATCTGAAAGAACCATTTAAGGTTTCTAGTTTCCTTTTTAACTGTTCTTGTTTGATATTGCTCTAGACTAAAGGTGCACTTTCCCCATTAATTTGTTTGTATACTGTACTGTGTGGTTGTGGTGTTTTATGCAAACAGGGGCCGTCTTCCTTAATACTTGCACAGCCCAAGGGTTAATACCAATATTGTTTCTCTTAAAGTGTAAAGTTCAGTTTGAGCTGGATACATTTTAGGAACGCATGCCTCTTGCATCCCAATACAGAGTATTTTGAGTAAGTGAAACCTCAGTGTGTCTGGGAGAACTGAACATGCTTATAGAAGACATGTTTGTGCATCATAATTTTTCAGCAAAATTGCATTAAACTGTTACACACTTAATCTGTGGTGTAATCTGTAATTTTCTAATATAAACAAAGCTACCCACTGTAATTTATTTTTTTATTATTGTTGAACCATTGTCGTGCACGTTTTGCAATTTCGTTTGCAAGGATGTGTAACATTTTCCTATTTATTTAACATTTTAATGCTCATTGTAATAGGAACTCGTTTTCTGAACCAGTGTGAACAAAAAATTTGATTTGGTTAATCGGGCGTTTCATCCTTCTTGCAAAATGTTTTGGATGAAGATATATTGGGATTAGTGGGCAGGTTTACAACTAGACCATGAACTAGACACATTTAAAGAGGTAGGAAGTGTTGACCCTAAATTTGAGCCCATAAGATGACGATAATTACCCAAGTGTGGTTACAGGATGTTACACTCATGGTGTCTTGTCTTTCCAGTGCTCTGTCGTATAATGCGTTGACACTACTGACGGTTTTGGCCTCCACCACATTCTACCACGCCATTTCTAAAAGAAAACTTTCCAATATTTTTTGGGCACCTTAGTTTGAATGTCCTCTTGTTCTTAAAGTTGTTGGTTTCGGAAATTCCACTGTCAATTTGGTCGATTCCTGTTATTTTTGTAAGGGGGTGATCATAGCCCCTCTTTTATCTCGTAGTTTTGGCATGTTTGATGCCTGTAGTCTCGTGTAGTAACAATTGTTTTTTGGTTCCGGAAGCCATTTTGTAGGATGCCGTTGCACCTTTTCCAGTTTGTGCTTAGAGATTTGGGCACCGTACATCTTCTGCATATTCCAATTTTGGTCTCGCAAAAGTCATGTATTTTAGTATTGCCTTTAGTATTTCACCGTCCATGTAATTAAAATATCTGAAGTTGGAAAGTGACGCATGTGCTCCTCTCCCAAATGTTTGTGGTCCTCTGGTGATGGCTTACTGTCCAAAACACCCTTGGGTCTCGGTTCTCTATTAGATTTTTAATTCCTTTCCACATAATTTGTAAGTTGTGTGTGGTAAATGTTCTCGTTTCACATTCCATAACATGGCATTTATTCACATTGAATTACATTTGCCACTTGACTCTCCACTTATTTTATCTAGATGAATTTGAGGGGCCTGGTCGACGACCGGGCCGCGGGGACACTAAGCCCCGGAAGCACCTCAAGGTAGCCTCAAGGTAGGAGGGGCATGACGATCGTTTGCATCTCTATCTTCCCAAGTATCTTGGCATCATCCACAAAAATGTTCATATAATTCTCTTTGTTCTGGTAGATAGTTTATGTAGATGATCATTACTGGTTCAGGAACTGAACCCTGTGGTTGTTTATAACGCTCCTCCAATCTGAAACGTTGTCTCCGATTACTGCCCTAATCTGTCGGTTAGAAAATTTTTCATCCGTGCCAGAAGTCTCCCTGCCTCTCCTCTTGTCACATAGGTGCTATCTATGTGCTCTTGGAATAATATATAGGTTAGGATATGTTACGACTTGCATGGTCTTCTTAACACTTTCGCTACCTGATCACGTATATTTCATCATAAAACCAAAATACACAGAGTGCGTGATAACTCAAACGGCGTAAAATTTTGTTTACACATTACATTTATTGTCCGAATACTATGGAACTAGTTTTAAAATGCGTGCCAACATCTTTCATACCCAACGTGGCATCCTGACCCACTGTGTGGGCACCCACTCATGCTGTAGGCTCACTGTTCTTGTCACAGCCACGACCTCCCCTAGAGTCGGTTTTCCCCCGTTCTGTTTATTTTATCTTGGGTATTTGTTGTTACTGGCTTTATAAACACTGCAAATTGACTTGCAGATGGATACTGATGAAGAACAGAGTCAATCCATGATGAAAATATGAGGGAAAAAGTTAAGTGTGTTCATGAAAAGTATAGGAAAGTGAGACTTGTATGTTCTTGTATGCAAATATCCCTTTACAGCATTCTATTACGAAAAATTAAATACCAAATTTAATGATGTATCGCAAAAATTGAGATGGAAAAAGGTGAAAGAGTATGAACATTGTAGTGAAGTTGTGTGTTTGCGGGCAGCGCTCAGCTGACCTTGCTGTGTAATTACCCAAGTGTAATTACAGGATGAAAGCTATGCTGATGGTGTCCCATCTTCCCAGCACTTTGTCATATAACGCTTTGAAACTGCTGATGGTCTTGGCCTCCACCACCTTCCCCTAACTTGTTCCAACAGTCTACCACCATTTGCGAAAGTGAATTTTCTTTTATTTCTTAGGCATCTGTGTTTAGCTAGTTTAAATCTGTGACCTCTTGATCTTGAAGTTCCAGGTCTAGGGGAAATCTTCCCTATCGATTTTATAAATTCCTGTTACTATTTTGTATATGGTGATCGTATCGCTTCTTTTTCTTCTGCTTTCTAGTTTTTGCATATTTAATGTCTCTATCCTCTCCTCATAGCTCTTGCCCTTCAGTTCTGGGAGCCACTTAAAAGCATGTCTTTTGCACCTTTTCCAGTTTGTTGATGTGCTTCTTAAGATATGGGCACCACACAACCACTGCATATTCTAGCTTTGGCCTAACAAAATTTGTGAACAATTTCTTTATTTCAGCATCCATGTATTTAAAAGCAATTCTGAAGTTAGAAAGCGTGGCAAAGCTCCTCGCACAAAGTTCTTTATGTGGTCCTCAGGTGATGGTTTTCATCTAGAACCACCCTTAAAATATTTCTTTATCAGAATTCTTTAAAAATTCCTCGCATGATTTATAGGTTGTGTGGGGTATGTTCTCCTATTCCACATTCCACATGCCAAGTGGTGCTCCATATACTTATTTTGTCCAGGTTTTCTTAAAGGGCATGACAATCATCTAGGTTTCTTATTCTTCCTATTATCCAAGCATCATCAGCAAACGGATTCATATGATTGTGTTCCATCTGGTAGATCATGTGGCAGGTTGCCTGCTGTGCCAGTGAAAGGTTCGAAATTTACCCTAATAGGTCTTGTTTCTCAAAGGTGAAATTGCACGTGGGTGCTCGGGGTGTTAGGGTAACGATGAGCCCCTATCAAAAATACTTTTGAACGATGGGATTTTGAAAGTGGGATGGCCTCTAGTAACCTTAATTTGTAATTGGGGGAATGGCGGAAAATTGAGCTCTGTAGTAACTAACACGATGAGAGTTATAGTAGTTTAAAGGCACAGTATTTTAGATTTAGAATGTTCTGCACAAGGCATAATCATCCAGGATGGAGTTGTTAATGTATTAAAGGTAAAAAATGAAGTAAATTTGTATTTATATTGAAAAGTTGCAATAATTGTGATTTTGGTTAAGACATACATACACTAACATGTAATTGCATTTTATTTTTGTTGGTATGCTGTCAGATATTCTAGTAGCATCAAGATCATCCACACCCACTGTCCGCAAATCTCCCGTATCTGATGCCGGAGTGCAAGTTACCCCACCTCCTACTAGAGAGGAGAAAAAGAAAAGTCAATCACAGCCTCAGCCACAGAGGCAGCAAGAAAGGTAAAAAAAAAATTATTTAAGTTAATACCTAGGTTTTTGTCTTTGTAATTAAGTTGCTATATCTTTTTAAATCTGCTTATTTATAAAATGCCACATTGTTTCTAAAGCCTTTACACTTTTGTGTGTGTAATTACCTAAGTGTAGTTACAGGATGAGAGCTACACTCGTGGTGTCCCGTCTTCCCAATATTCTTTGTCATGTAACGCTTTGAAACTACTGACGGTCTTGGCCTCCACCACCTTCTCGCCTAACTTGTTCCAACCGTCTATTACTCTGTTTGCGAAAGTGAATTTTCTTATTTCTTTGGCATCCGTGTTTAGCTAGTTTAAATCTGACCTCTTGTTCTTGAAGTTCCAGGTCTCGGGAAATCTTCCCTATCGATTTTATCAATTCCTGTTACTATTTTGTACGTAGTGATCATATGACCTCTTTCTTCTGTCTTCTAGTTTTGGCATATTTAATGCCTCTAACCTCTCCTCATAGCTCTTGCCCTTCAGTTCTGGGAGCCACTTAGTAGCATGTCTTTGCACCTTTTCCAGTTTGTTGAAGTGCTTCTTAAGATATGGGCACCACACAACCGCTGCATATTCTAGCTTTGGCCTAACAAAAGTCGTGAACAATTTCTTTAGTATATCGCCATCCATGTATTTAAAAGCAATTCTGAAGTTAGAAAGCGTGGCATAGGCTCCTCGCACAACATTCTTTATGTGGTCCTCAGATGATAGTTTTCTATCTAGAACCACCCCTAGATCTCTCCTTATCAGAATTCTTTAAACATTTCTCACATAATATATAGGTTGTGTGGGGTCTCTGTTCTCCTATTCCACATTCCATAACATGGCATTTATTAACATTAAATTCCATTTGCCAAGTGGTGCTCCATATACTTATTTTGTCCAGGTCATCTTGAAGGGCATGACAATCATCTAAGTTTCTTATCCTTCCTATTATCTTAGCGTCATCAGCAAACATGTTCATATAATTTTGTATACCAACTGGTAGACAATAAACATCACTGCAAGAACTGAACCCTGTGGTACCCCACTTGTGATATTTCTCCAGTCCGATACATTGCCTCTGATTACTGCCCTCATTTTTCTATCAGTCGGGAGATTTTTCATCCATGTTAGCTTACCTGTCACCCCTCCAATATTTTCCAGTTTCCAGAACAACCTCTTGTGTGGTACTCTGTCGAAAGCCTTTTTTTAGGTCCAGATAGATGCAGTCGATCCAACCATCTCTTTCCTGTAAAATCTCTGTGGCTCGATCATAGAAATAGAGTAAATTCGATACACGGGATCTTCCAGATCGAAAACCATACTGTCTGTCTGATATAATATCATTTTTCTCCAGGTGTTCTACCCATTTAGTTTTGATTAGTTTTTCCAATACTTTCACTATTACAGTAGTCAATGATACAGGTCTATAATTGAGGGGATCTTCCCTGCTGCCACTTTTGTAGATTGGAACTATGTTAGCCTGTTTCCACACATCTGCTATGACTTCTGTATACAGGGATGCCTGAAAGATCAACCAGACGTGTAGTTACCCAAGCGTAGTTACAGGAGGAAAGCTACGCTTGTGGTGTCCCATTTTCCCGGTAATGTCATAAAAGTTGTGTGGTCTCTCCTCCAATTCCACATTCAATAACATGGCATTTATTCACATTAAATTCCATTTGCTACTTGATGCTCTAAGCACTTACTTTATCTAGGTCGATTTGAAGGGCATTACAATTCTCCATCTTCCCCAGTATCTCTGCATCGTCTGCAAACATATTCATATGATGCCCGTGTTATCCCGTGCGTAGGTTCTGACCCTCAAAGTCCTTGTGGATTTGTTTGTTCATGTATTTCTGTATTCCTGCTGGTAGATCGTTTATGTAGATGGACATTTTACTGGTGCAAGAACCGAATCCTGTGGTACTCCACTAGTAACACTCCTCCAGTCAGATAAATTGTCTCTGATTACTACCATCATCTGTCAGTCGGTTAGAAAAATTTTCATCCGTCTCAGAAGTCTCCCTGGCACCCTTCTAGCATGTTCTAGTTTCTAGAACAGCCTCCTGTGTGGAACTCTGTCAAAATCTTTTTTCAAGTTCAGAAGAGGCAGTCAACCCAACCACCTCTCCTGAAATATTTATCATATTTACCATAAAGTAAATTTGTTATACAGGATCTTTGTTCAAAAACCACCTGTTATGTCTTTACTCTAGGTGTTCAACCCATTTGGCTTCAATTATTGTTTCTAGTGTTTTGACTACTACGGTTGTTATAAATGATATGGGTCTATAATTTCGAGGTTTCTCTCGACTACCATTTTTATAGATTGGTGCTATGATGGCTTTTTCCTTGTACCTGTATTTGCTAAGATTCCTGTGTATAAGGATGTCTGGAATATTGTTTGGCGTGGAATGCTCAGCTCTGTTGCACATTCTTGTAGCACCCAAGGTAAAACTCCAGGTCCAACTGCCATTTTTTTTTTTTTTTCATGCCCCCTTGAGTAATTTTTCAATTTCATCTTCCTCTATATATTCTATGGTGAACTCTGGAATTGGTATTGGGTCCAGCTCTCTGAAATCCTCATTGTGTACAAACACACTTTTGGAACTGTTCATTTAGCATTTCACATCTTGGTTTTCATTGTCATTAGTCCTGGTTTCCCATTCTCATTAGTCCTGGATTCCCATTCTCAATCTGGATTTTATCCTGTACATGTAGCATTCTTTTAATGAATTTATAGAAAGCCTGGATCTATTTTACATTTGCCTGCTATACCTTACTCAGTTTTTCTACCTCTCTTCTCGCTGCTGTGTAATTATTTCTTGCTTGCTTGTAGTGCTGGTATGTTTGTGGGTAAGGCCTCTTCCTATATTGAACCCATTTTCTTGTCTTCCACTCTGACCCTCTCGCAATTTCTGTTGAACCAATCCTGTTTTCTGGTCCTGCATCTCCGTTTTGGTTTAAATGTTTGTGTGTTTATTTTGCAAAATTTGGCATACATCTCGTTTACTTCCTTGCCTAGCATAAAGTCTGTCCAATTAAACTCATTAAAGAATTTAAGTTCCCCATAGTGTCCTCTTAACCTAGTTAAACTCTTTCAATGACCTCCCCCCCCCCCCATTCTCTTCTAGAGTGTCACAAAGCATATTTAATTTCTAAAAGGACATGATCACTCTCCCAAGGGAAGACAGTACAGTATGTTAAATATCTCCTCTTTCCTGGTGAATAGTAGATTCAGTATTTGTGGAACATCCCCTTTCCTCATTCTTGTTGCCTGTTTGACGTGTTGATACATATCTCCAGAATGAGGTTTACAAATCTGCCTGTACAAATGTTCTCCATTCTTAATTTATAGGCCTCCCAGTCTATCGTTTTAAAGTTGATTTCCCCCCTTCCCCCCAGTACCAATAGTTTTAATTAATCATTATCTGTTTTTACTTTAATCTCTCATGATCATTATAAGGCCCTCTTGTTTTGTTTATCTAGTTCCTCCTTTGTCCATGTGTTGCTTGCTGCTGGTGGGCTGTAGGCATTTACAATTCAGTTTGTCATCCTGATCCCAGACCTGTAATGCCATTGTCAACTTCTTGAGGGTTTTTGGTTATTAACACTCTTCAGGTGTCACAAACAGTCATGCCCATGCACTCGGCTCCTGGGCCTGACTCGTGGAATTCAATATTCATAAAGAAATGTAAAGTACCAGTAGCGCGAGCACTCGGCATAATATGGAGAAAGAGCCTGGATACAGGGGGAGATACCAGCAGCACTTAAATCTGCAGTTACAGCTCCTTTGCACAAAAGGGGGGGGGGGGGAGTAAAGCCTTGGCAAAAAACTGTAGACCATTTGCACTACCATCGCACATAATAAGTTTTTGAAAGTGATTAGGAATCAAATTTCTAGTTTTATGGAAAATGAGTTACACAACCCAGGACAACATGGATTTAGAGTGTGAAGATCCTGTCCGTCACAGTTACTCAACCACAATGACAAAATCACAGAAGCTCTAGAAGAAAAGCAAAATGCAGATGTAGTATACACAGACTGCAAAGGCATTTGATAAATGTGATCATTGAGTGATTGCACACAAAATGAGGTCAATGGGAATAACTGGTAAAGTAGGACGCTTGATACACAATTACCTGTCGAACAGAACACAGAGTAACAGTCAATCAAACCAAAGTCAAAGTGCAGTTAAAAGCTCTGTACCTCAAGGTACAGTCCTTGCACCACTGCTGTTCCTTATTCTCATATCAGATATAGATTAAAATAAGTCACAGCTTCGTGTCATCCTTTGCAGATGACACACAAATCGGCATGAAAATTACTTCTGCTAAAGATATGGAAAAATTACAAGCAGATATCAACAAAGTTTTCGATTGGGTAGCAGAAAATATGATTAACAGTGATAAATTCCAGGTACTTGGGTACGGCAAAAATGAGGACCTGAAACATAATACAGGGTACAAAACACAATCGAATCTGCTCATAATAGGTAAACAGCATGTCAAGGATTTGGGAATGATGAAGATAATGATGTGCGATTAACGTTTACGGAGTATAACCAAGCAAATATTGCGTTGTCCAGAAAAATGATAGGATGGATTACAAGAACTTTCAAATCCAGGGATCCCATCACGATGGTTGTACTCTTCTTGAAGTCACTTGGGTTGTCTCGTCTCGAGTACTGCTCAGTACTCCCATCCCCCTTCAGAGCAGGAGAGATTGCAGAAATAGAGGGAATACAGAGAACATATACGGCACGCATAGATGCGATAAAGCGCCTAAATTATTGGGATCGTCTCTTAAGCTCTCCAAATGTGCTCGCTAGAAAGGAGACGAGAGATACCAAATAATATACACATGGAAAATACTGGAAGGCCAGGTCCCTAATCTACACAGTAAAATAACATACTGGAGTGAACTATATGGAAGAAAATGCAGAATAGAACCAGTGAAGAGCAGGGTGCCATAGGCACAATCAGAGAACACTGTATAAA